TGAAGAGGATGATATTGTGTGTACCACTTTGACAAGTGATCCATTTTTGAGGATATTGCTTTAGATAAGCACCAAATATCCTGTAGTTAAATTAAGACAATGTAAGAATATGTAGTTCTCTACTATAGTAGAAAGACTCACAAGATATGCGATTCTCTGATATATGTAGCTCCTACGAAAAAGTGTAACTACACCAACTTCAAAACAGTGTAATTTTATATCAGTAATTTGCTCTGTATTTCTAAAACACTAATAAAGTACGTCCTGCAAATACAGAAAGAAATTATAGCTATCTTATTAGCAAGATAGTGAATATATCAGTTTTCTAAAGCAATCTAAAGCCATTATGAGGTAATGTACTCCCTGGGACATAGCTTTACACTTGTATCAAGCATTAGGGCCAAAATGCCAACTCATTTCAGACTTAAGCCTACTCTAGTTGAAAGCAGCCTTTGTAATGAAAATTATCATTGACCGTAAACATGCCTGACCCTCTGCGTATGAATAATATTGGCTAACACAATTGTTCAAATCAAACCATAAGAAATACAAAGTTATGAACAGTTTTTATAATCATGCCATAAAGAAGACGTAGATTATTTTTATTTGTTAATTAAAACTTTATCTATACAGTATATTTCCAAGACAAAGGTGGGCTGCCTTATAATAATTGGTAGGTGCCTTGGGAAAGTCAGCTTGTTTTATCATTGCTAGACTTGTCTTTCTGCTGGACACAAGACAGATACAATACTGTATGAATATGCATGCAAGTAAATACAGAATTTTGGATGTACAGAATTTGACATATTATTCCAAGTAACCTTTCAGACTGATCATAAATTTTGCACCATATATAGCCTTCTGTGGTGTACAAATCCATCTTTCTCACTAGAGATTTTAATGGAAATGGATCCTCCTCACCCAGAACAGCTTGTGTAAGCCAGCCCAGAGCATCAGAAAGATAATGGTAAACTAATGAAAGACCACTTAAACCTCCTCCCTTCCTGTCTCCTCTTTCGCATCAAACCTCAATCACCTTATTAAATGTCTTCTATATAAATTTGGAAGCCAAAGCAGCTGTCACATGGAAACCCATTAAAAAAAAGAAAACCCAGTTAAAAAAATACCACTACAACATCTTTTGACAACCAAAACTTGAAGAGAAAAATCAGATATTTTTGACAGAACGCTATTCTAGGCTGCTGCTGTACTCTCTCTCCAGTAACGTGTTCTGGCTGAGAAACATGTTATATGTCTCCTACTCCAGCTCTCAGCTGCTATGAAAGGGGTTTCATCACTTGGAAATAACTCACGTATCTATCTGAGTTGCCTTCCAGTTGACATGACTGGACAGTTGCAACCATCTTAACACAGCACATTTTATCTCTCTCTGAAGCTTTTAGAAAGATTATCTACCAACAGAGTCAACATACATATCTGTCCTCTCAAAGACAACTTTTCATAGATAACAATTATGTCTGCATGTTTAGGATAAGAAATAACAAAGAAACAACCAAATCTTAAATCCTGCAGAAAATGGCCTTGCAGAAAATGCATCCTCATTGAAGAAAGTTCTCCTCTACTTTATAGCTGAGTAAATTTTTTGCGCTGCAAACATTAGTTAAAGCAGTAAGGCTGTAACAAAAATAAGCCATTAATTTGTAAAAGAGTAGTTAAGTGGGAACACCTACCATAAATAAAGATCCCATTGTGTTAGGCCGCATATCATGGTATTTATAGCTTGACCACAAATGCAAGTGTGGTGAGTCAAGTGGGGAAGTGCAAGTGGGGAAGCTCAAGCTTCCCCCAAACTCCGCTTCTTTTCTTACATCCGCAATGTTTTGCAGCATATATCAAGGATTTCTTAAAACTACCTGACTGGTTCCTATCTATTACAAGATCCTCAAAAAGCTGCAGAATGTATAAGCAATATGTCAAGTGTTACTCTAGCAAGACAATAACAGGTAAGTGAAGTCAAAGAACCAAATCCTGCTGTTTATCACACCACCGTAAGTCAACAGAAGCTCCTTGAAAGCCATGCCTGACAGAAGTTATTGGGCCAGAAAATTTCAAACTTAATTCTCTTGATCTTCTATGCTGCTTTCCATTTTCTGTGATTTGAGTTCAGGCTTGACAGTCAACTACTCAGTACTTACCAATGTAATGAAAGGACACCAAGCAGCCAAAAAAATACTGTTTACATTTTTTTTAATTTTTGTAAAAAATCTCCAAGCAAACAAAACTGGCAAAAGTCTTAAAACAGTGAAAGGAAAAAAAAAAAGTAGTTTTGAACAACATAGGCCCTTTTGCTCATTATATAGGGAAGGCGTAAGGGACAGCTGCATCAAGTGTTCTTAAGGTTAACAGATACTAAAATAACAAATTCGTACATTGAGCATACATATACCACATTTTTATGAACATGTGTATGCACATAAATACATGGTAAACGCAGTTATCAACATTTTGTAGGCTTTTAAATTATTTTTTTTTAAATCTTCTGGCTGATGATGCTGAGTTGCTAAGACTTTTTAACTAATATGTGCAGCTCAAATGACTTTGGATACTCTGAAACGAGCATTACAAGCTCTATCTATTCACTTAGTGTTTCTGGATAAAAAAACGCAGCTCTATTAAAATCAAAAGCCAACTCCTATTGACTTAAGTGGCTTAATATGCTCTAAAACCCACAGCTCCAATTTTGCCCTCCTTTATACTAATGAAAATCCTAAATAATTGCTCTAAAGTCAGTACACACTCATAGGATAAAGATGAAAAGAGCACAAGGGTAATTTCATTTTATAGCTTAGCTTGATACTTTTGTGACTGATTAACTCCAGTGTCTCAGACAAAGAACTAAGTGCCTTTGATTTGTATGTTTATGTAAAATAATGGAAAATCTGGGATATCGAATTGACCCATGATAAAATTGCATCATGAAAGACTGATCGGGAAGGGTATTCATGGTTTAGAATATGTTATGAATGAAAGAGGCTTCTGGAAAGCCTGTTAAGAAGAGACAGAAAAAGACACTCAAATACTGTGCCAAAAGAATCTGAGGCTTTAATCAGGAGACAAATTAACTCTTTACTTTTACAAGAAATAAAAACTAGTTAATGTCAACTATATAGAGAGACAACTGTTCAAAAAAACCCAGAAAAACCTGGTCAAGTATGCAATGGTCATTTGTATGTGCATGGTATGTGTTTGCCTCTTTGTGGTACACCTTCCAGGCACTCTTTGCTACATCTCCTGTTTTGGGAAAGTTAATGGTGTCTTTATCTGTTATGTGTACAGCATGGAGAGTGCTCTAACAGCACAGAATTACTGGTATTAACCCTCCTCTGCTCACATGGTCCTACGCTGACTTGGAAGAATGGCCTTTAATCATTTAATAGTTTGAACTGTTAGCAAATCCACCAATTAGATGGATTTGGAATTCAGAATAGTATAAACCCGATATTCTTATGTACAACTAAAAATAGTATTCCACTGCAAGCTGAGCTTGGGTTTATACCATCTACAGTTCACTAAAAAAAAAAATCCTTTTCCTCTTTTCTCAAATAGCTGAGGGAAAATAAAGTCTTTGCTTGCCTTGTGGGAAAGACAAAAACAAGCAAACAAAATCCTTAGTTCAAATTTCACAGACACTTTCATGCCTGAGCATGCACTCTCACTGCAGGAGTATATTCTGGTTAGCCTGTAGTCTTGTTTTGCTAGGACCGAATGCAATAGCTTTCCTGAACTATCACTAGCATTAACTCAGACAACAAATGTGGTCTTATAAGGACTTCTAATTTTTCCCCCTGTTCACATTTTAGAAAACCAACTCTCTAAGAGATGATTGCAAAACTTCTCACTGCACAATTGATAATAAAATCAAATGTAAATTATAAAGTTAATTTGCTTTTGCATTTTTCTATTTTCAGGCAGATTTTTTTTCTCCTAAAAACATATTAAAAATGTCATACACACTTGTATGAGCAACAGCCAAAAACATGCGTTTGTTAAACTTCAGTATAGTGTCACCAAACCTTGGTTTTCAAAAAGGAAAAAAAAAAAAAATAAAAATCACACACGAGATTCTGATGCACTGCCAGGGTTTAACAGCATTGGGATTCTTTCACTGCACACACAGGCCATGTGTTCCTGCAACCACAAGGGACAAAGTTCACACAGGCCCTCTTAACACGAAGCTGAGATTCCTACACAGGCTTCCGACTGCAACAGGTGCTGCCGACGAAAGAAATTCCAGTAAGATTAATTCAGGCTCGACAGTCTGCTTTAAAGAAAAGTCTGCTCCCAAGCCTCATTAAAAAAAAAAAACAAACCCAAACAACAAACATCAAACAACCCAAAAGCACCAAACCACCGAATAATACACTGGGGGAAGCGGGCGGAGAGGTCTACACTCCCCAGCAGAAGAGCACCTGCTCTGCAGCTTGCCTTGCCCCAGAAGGTCCCATCTAACAGGACCACAAAGACTCACCCAGCAATAAACAAGCCTTTGGCGGAGCGCCAGGCCTGCCCGGCTCAGCGCAGGCAGCCTCAGCAGGAGGCTCAAGCCCGGCCTCCCCTGAGGCAAGCCCGGGTGCGGGCCAGCGGCTAAGGCCAAACCCCGACGAGCCGGCCTGGCCCTGCGGCAAGCCCCGCCCCCTCCACCCGTCTCTCACAG